GGTTATGGGCAAGCTTGACCGGTTATAGTGTTTTTCATCGGAACCGGGACCAGTTATAGAGGGACCGGTTATAGACGGTTTTTGTCCCGATTAGGACCGGCCGTAACCGGTTAAGGCCTGGTCCGGGACCGATTTTTGGCCATCTCTAATTCACATGATGTTGGAAAAAACGAACGGTAACATAAATTTGTAATTTGATTAACAAACTCACTACCAGAAACTATACTAGAAAGTTCTACCGATCCTGATGTAACTAAAAAACACAAGCATTTGTGGGTTCAATGCGAAAATTCGCTAGTTCGCTTGAGATTGGAAACTCGTGGTTTCATTTTAAGTTAAAGAGTGAAACGAGTAATAGGCAGATGATCTAGCTTTGAATTTGGGATCAATACAGGATTTTGATAGTAATCTAATGGTGCAGTAAGTCATATGAAGGCCGTAGTCTTGATCAATCCTTTAGATGCAAAAGTAAAAGTGACATACAATGGTACTAGACCAATATGGTAGAACCATAAACACCACACATCTGTTTAGTTTTTGTTTAAACCTGTTAACCTTTTTAAAATGAATCAAACTAAAAACCTTTATCAGACATATCATATATAACTTGTTTCAGATCAAAAATTAAGATTTGACTTTTCCGATCAAGATTGGTACTAAACTAGACTAGGTTCAGTCTTTACACTTTTATATTTCAAGCAACTAGAAGGGTACTCGCATAATGCAGCGAGATACATTTTGGATTTTATTGTTTCGTTTTTTTTGTCTCAGTCGATGTTATAATACGTTTGGTGTGATTATGGGAAAGCAATAATGTTTTTATTTTTGAATAAAATATAAATATGAAGATATATCATAAAAAATTGAAAACAAAAAATTGATATTGATAACAAACTAACTATTTAAATTTTCTCGTTTCTTTGTGTATTTCTTTATTATATTATTTCATTTTTTTATTTTTTTAGAGTTCAATAGTTACCCTAATTATATTTTAGATTTTTTATATTTGAAATAAAACGTTTATTCTCTATTTGGTTATGTTTATCTGTAGTTAGTTACACGAATTCAAGCATGAAGCTTTAATAAGTTATACTTACACACAATTTACTTGTAATGTTGAATTTTAAATAATATACATCAATAAAACAGTCCTTTATGCATAAAAATGGTTTTTAATTTTTTTGTATAAAATGCTTTATAATATAGTATAAATTAAAACTATTTGAAACTACATTGAATAGATTAAATATTTTGTAACGGATATTAAATTAATCCTTATCTTTTTAGATTTAAAAAAACATAATGGTTGGTGGGGTCGGCTTCCCCCGAGATACACATGTCACATATATGACACGTGACTTGCACCCTCCCCTTCCTTTTCTCCGATTTGATTCCCGTTTTCGCCTTGGTAAGTTCTTCTTCCCCCCCCCCCTTTTCACGTACTCCTCTCTAAAATCCCAAATTCACGACAAATTCCATGCATTTGTGTTTGAATCATGGGGCGTGCATGATTTCTTAACAAATTCGATTTCATTTCTATCGTAGGAATCAAACTTGATTATGTCTATACGATTCAAATTCAGAAGTTCCGTCAACTTCGACACCCTCGAAATCGATGGTGATAAGCCCTATATATCGGTGGGAGAACTTAGGAAGAAAATTATGTGCCAGAAAAAGCTAAACAACGTCTCCCAGAAAGACTTCGATCTCGTCTTCTCTGATGCAATCACTGGTCAAGGTAAAATCTTGTTTCTCTCTGTGTTTCTGTTTCCATTCTGCTGAACTGGAAGCTACTAGATATCTTTTTGTAGAAATTGTTTTCCTATAGTCTAATTGAGTTGATACGCTATGTATGTGTTTTATGCACCGTAATTGGATATGCTTTTTTGATTTTCTTTGTTTCTTGTTTTCCCATTTTGGGTTACTAGAGTATAATGACGACAGATTCGAGATACCTAGTTGTTCAAGCGTGATCGTAAAGAGGGTGCCCGTTGAACCAGCCCCTGCAGCTATGTAAGTTCTATTCAATTCTTCTAGTGATTTCTTTTGATGCACACAATGAACCGTACATTTAGATGAAACTGACATTGCTTGATGAGTTGTCATGGTTTTATTTCTGAAAGTAGTTGGTGCATCAGCAGGGAGTTATTGGTTTGACGTGCTGGTGTTAATCACTAAAGGAACCTTCTAGGATACGTTTGACTTTTCACAACAGTAGAACTTCGTAAAGCAGTGAGAAATCATAAGGCTAATCTCTTAGAATTTCTTCATATCAATGTCAGTGGCAATAGATTTGAATCTCCTAATGCTGACAAAAAAAAAAAAAAAACTCATAAAAAACTTGGCAGAGTAAACCAGCCGAATTCATAATTTATATGGGAGAACCACCATCTTTGTAGATGTATATAGATGAGATTTAAAGGTCTATAATATATAATCCTTTCAGTCATGTAGTTTGAGCAAATGTGGTTAAGAAGGTTAGTGAACCCTAATCAATGCGACATTGGCAAGTTTTTTGTGCGCACATGATGCAATGTGATCTGGCTTATTAGATAATTTTGATGCAACTAAGCATTGCAATTGATGTCTTTGTTTGTTTTGTTTCTAGTAGGTTTCAATATGCATATATGCTAAAATAAATTGTGGTTCATTTGGGTAATGCTTTCTTTAACTCGGAATTGGTACATATGTCATTTACCCATTTTCATGCAACTTATCTTTTAACTTTTTATTGCCCTCCAGATCTCTTACCACTCTCGTACATGTTGGTCGAACCATATACTTATATCTCATCCGTCCTAAACTCATAATGGTCATTACCAAACCAAACAAGCCTAGTATGTCCTAAAATGGTCATTCACTATGTAAATGTTACAAGTAGTAGTGTTAATGGATTGCTGAAATAGATTGCACGTGGAGTGAGCAAATGCTCGAACTAGGTGGCATGGACCGAAAGGCATTATGTTCATACACTAATGGGACTTGTGCATATATTATTGTATCTTTTCAACTTTGGAAGCTTGTACTGTAGGTTAGTTTGGATGTAAAATATGGTTCTTTTGGTGGGTTTTGATAACAAAACATTGAACCTGGAGATAAATATCTGTGGTACATTGAGAACAAGACATGCGAGTCTAAGATATCAGCGGGTTGGTAGAAAGCATTGTTACTGGAGTTGGTGGTACCCCCATGGAGCAAGGATCAATAAGTGCACGAAGGTGCTTGATGAATCCACTCAAAGTAGTGTATGTCTAATTCTGATGCGGATGAGGAACTGGTAACTTGATCAGGGCTTCTAATCATTATTAGTCACTTTCAATCATCATGAGTTGCTTCTTCAATATGGTCTTCTTCAGAGAAATTTTAAGGGTTCCAATGGGAGTTTGGCAGAATATATGTGTAGGAAGAGGGAAGAAACAAGAGAGACAGAGAGAGGGGAGGAAGGGGAGAGGGAAGGGGGGAGGGGAGATAAAGCTAACTACCGACCTTCACATTCATTTCTTTAATTTTGTGGTTTCATGAGTTGAACGTTCCATCTCTTTCCTACAACTTTTGACTGGTTTGGGTTTTAACTTGAACATAATTCTTAAATTAGCTCTAGTTGCATAACAAAGTTCTATCACTGACTTATATAGGTAATATTACATGTTTAAATAACAAGGTTACCTTTTTCCCACAGAAATGCAATATTTTCTTTCTAGTTCATGGGCACAAGAATTACAACATTTCCTTTTCTTGGGAAGTTTCCAAGTCAAATTACCTGTATGCTCCCGTAGCATTTATTTCAACTTATAGTGATTCCTTTTGGTTCAAAATATTTGCTAATGAATTTGGATTTGGCATGGCGTTTTTACTTTCTTTTCATTCAGGTACAGTAAACTACTATGAATTCATGTGTAAAGTCAAACATCTTAGTTCTTGCAGGACAGATGGGGTATAATTCATCATATAACTGATAGAAAATGATGTTTATTATCCTCAACCAATACACCACCATATAATGAACCGAAATTGCATGATCACAGATCCTACTTCCCCCCACACCTCAAAGTGCTAATTGGCATCCACCGAGTTGTATAACTGAATCTGCATTAGGAGTGCAACATACAGTGAATCTATGACATAGGCATGAGGTCATTCTGTTAGAAGAGGGAAAAATGGGGGATGGGGGCAGAATGGTGTGAGCGTATTTGAATTTAGGGGTATGGGATAAATAATGCAAGATTTTTTTAAATCTTAATTGTTTTGATGCTATTACCTGTGAAAAAAAGGCTGTTGCATTGCCAACTTAAGTCTTTTTACTGCTTTACGAGACCAAAAGTACAGATAAACTATATGTATCTATGCACACACATGCATATATGGATGCCTCATACCTATGATTTGAGGAAGTGTATCATGAAACCAAATTCCATACTGACAAAGCCGACAACCATGAAACGCATACGAACAACTAAATGAACATCTACTGATAGATTGAAGCTATAGCAACGAACTAGGTGAAATTAACTTTAGCACCTTTTACATATGTAATTGAAAATAGCGATTGATTGGATTTGATGATGTTAACTGACCTTGTATCTTTCTTGCATTTTCTTCTTTATCTGGAAACTAAGGAAGTCAAAGTGATGTTGTAAGGAGAAATAACGCCTTTTTTACGTAAATCAAATTGCTAAGGAATTATCTTAATATTTTTGTAGGGAACTAAAGTTCTGAAACCAGGCCTACTTCTGTAGTAGCCGTTTAGGGTTAGATATCCTTGTCCATCTAGAAATTGGTTTATGTGTTAAAACTTGTTTCTTTAGGTATCGTTTCGTATGCAGACGACAACACAAGGGGGCATGAATGGACTGGATTGGACAAGACGAATACCATATTAGGGTTATATCAAATGAGGGTAGATTGGCAACTTTTTAGTTCTGTCCCATTCTTGTCCCATCTTGTTCCACCTATTTTGGTGGGACAAAAAGCCCTTTTTTTCCCATCCAGTCCCTGTCCCATGCCAAACGTGGGATAATGGGTTTTGTTCTGTCCTGTCCAGTCCAGTCCCATGTACCAAACGCAAAGCTTCCTGAGCTTCTAATTGTAACATGTAAATATTATGATATAAGATAGTTCAACTTAGATGTGGCCACAGTTGGATGAAAAACTGTTTGTTCTCCCGAAATAAATGGCTTTCACTTGGCATGCTTACTAGGAAGTGAAAGTGAAAGACTGTAAAAAACTTTGACCTTCCATTCTTGCCTTTTGTCTACTAAACACAGAAACTGTTTTGAACTACATTTCCATAAGAATGTGTAATCTTATTATTGAGATTAAGAGAAGAGCAAAGAGAGGTAAATGCGTTCCCTTTGCACACGTTTCGAAATTGCGTTGTTATCTTCTTTTAAGCAACGGTAGAAAGGTATAAGCAGTTCTAATAGCTGTGAACTCTAGAAACTAGACACTTATTTGTGGGCATCCCAAAGAGAAAGTTGACCACATATTTTGGGCAGGAGTATATGAAGATTGCAAGTAAAATTTGATATATGAATCTATCCTGATACGATCGAAATCTCACACGGTTGAAATTGGAATTTGGAGTAATTGCACCCTGCCCCCTTATAGAAAGATGATGTAAAATACCATTAGCGTTTCTTCCAGCAGAGGACCATCTAATATTTGGAAATATATGTGAAAACTCACCATAATAATTATGATAAGCATGTTAAGAAAATAAGTTATGCATATAGTTTTTGTTCCAATATTGCCCCCGGTCTCTCTTGGCTAGTTTGCCTTTCTAATGTTCTGCCTTGATGAGTGGGAGAGGTAGCCGAATTAGGATATCAGGCTAGGTCCAGACTAATCCTAGCCTATTCTGCCGGGCACTTTCTTTCACAGCTAACCCTTAATTTGCACCTATCTATTCTAGATTTTCAGTAATAGATTGTCATTTTGTAGAAGAATATAATGGAAATGTTTGAGAATTTTCTTGGCAAATGATAAAAGCTCTTAAGAGGATGAGTAAGTTAAAAGCAACATTGCATGTAAAGCTCTTGAGAAGACCCTTATATCAAATAAGTGATGCGTCAAGGGTCACAAGGAGTGGTTTCGTACTGTCTTATACATAAACAAAAGGTTGCTTTCTTAAAAAAACAACATTATTCTTTCTGCAGCAGATTGGTAGAGTATGCATGGTAACATAGGGATCTATTATATATGCAATATGAAGAAGAAAGATGATAGGAAAAGATGCTCCAAACAGTTATCACAAAATTTAATAGTATCAAATTACTTTTACAATAAGAAATTACTGCCCTATATATGATGCAGCCAATAACTTTTTCAGCTAGCTAGTATTCTATAAAGTTAGAACTTCTAAGATAATTGGGTTACAATTTTCATATATTAAATTTTCTTAATATCTTTCTAATAGCTATTGAGAAATCATCTCCATAGACAATTAAGTTAAATATTCTAAATGCTTTCCATAATACTCATTAATAGCAAATAACTCATGCTCATAGACTCCTGTAGTCATTAGGTTTCTGTAGCCTCTTTGATAAGGCATGTCTTGCATTGTTCTCTCTTGCTGAAGAGTACTAATCTTCGATATATTAGGCTCACGACAAAGGATACCATTAGGAGAGAACATCAACTCATAGGGTGTTCTTTCTTGGAAGCTCTGGTGAGGGGGATAGAAACCATTACGGTCGCGGGGGCGAGGAGAAGGGGTGGGCCGAGGAGAAGGGGTTGGCCGAGGAGGATGTGGGATGAGCATATGAGGATAAACATGGAAGCCTTGAGCATTTATAAGGACATGACCTCTTATAGGAGTTCGTTGAAACGCAAGATCAAGGTAGCAGACTAGGGGATGCTACATGGAGGATGTAGCTAGGCTAAGTAGGAGGAACAAGGAAGGGCACTCGAGAGATAGTGGGTAGGGGGTAGGGGGTAGGGTCTGAAGCCAGGAGATATCCTAAGTTAGACTAGGAGATGTCTCATTGTCTTACATGGCTTATGTTTCTTCGGTGCAACTTAGTTTTCCCTTGCATGGTTTTCTTTTCTTAGTTTGTTCTAGCCTCACTCTTCTGGTTTTTCTCACTTGTCCTTTTTTATAATTGTTAAACCTTTTCGGGCTAGCTTTCTTTTTCTCACACACTTTTTTCCAGCTAGGGAAAACAATTTAGCATATTTAGTCATTTACGTTCAAACATAAAATTCGGTTTTCATTTTTAACAGTAATAACATTAATTTTCCATCATTGGTTTACATTAAAAATTTATATCCCGCTGCATTCCATGGGTACACAACTAGTTTTTATGAAGGAAAAAAGTATCGCCACCAAAAGCTCTAGATGAGATCATAAGATGGGAGGGTTGAATTGATTAAAGTAGGCGTTCGTAGTTTCCTTAGATTACATGCATGTTATTGAGAATATATATGCAATTGGTGCCCAATACATGAATCAATATGTATTGATTGCATATTGTAACAATCTTTTCTGATCCATCAGCAGTTATAATGGATGGATTTTTTGTGCATATAGTAATGACAACAAGGCAAAGTTGTCTAGACTCTATATTCATTTGCTTGCTTCCATATCTCATTTGGGCGCTCTGGGGTGTTTAGGATGTAAATAAATGTCATATTCGCTGTATGTTTCTTTGTGATTCTCTTGATTGTAGGAGATATAGAAGTTGATTAATCTGGATGCCTACATGCATGGCAGTGTGCGCTAGGATACATGTTAAATTGGGTAAGGAAGGCTTATGAGAACGAAAGGGACATCTAAATTGAACATTCAATTTTGTTCTGCTCACAGGAAAGGTTTTACTTTCTTATTCTTGACAACTCTTTGATCCTCCAGGAGTGCCACCACCTTTCCAAAAAAAGGAAAAAAAATACTATTGGATCCAAATGTGAACTGCTTATTCACTGACAACTTTGGCCTTTTGTTGGTGACACGGAGTTAATTTACTGATGAACTTACGTTTGTTATGCAATAGTGTTCTATTTAATTCAAACATAGCAATTTACTTTTACTTTCCTTTAACAAATAGGTTTTTGTTCTGTGCCAGTTGAGCTTTAAATCCCAGCTCTTTTTTCTCATATTTAATTCAATTTTGTACTGCTCTTTTTTCTCACATTCCATGTTTCCGTTACCATTATTTTATGCGCTCTATTTATTGGTGATTTTTCCATCTTTGTATTTCTATCTTGGATTTGCATTTGATACTCTCTTCTTTTTTCCAGGTTAAGATATCAAAGGCTTGAAGCGAGTGAGCTTTGTGATGACATTAAAAAAGGTGGGATAATATTTGATGCAAACTTGAGTTCTATTTGGTGGTTCTGATTGTGGAATACTTCATTGTCGATGTAGGTTTGGATCCGAATAAACCAGATAAGATAGTTCTAGAGGAGAAGCTAGAACCAGATTCTAACAAACAAATAAAGTTGGAAAAGTAAAAAAACTGTCCTACCTGCTTTCTTTATGTTTTTCATGATTATGATGTTTCATGCGATCTGGCTAACTTTCTTTTTGTTTCTTTTCATCATGACTGACCTCAAAGTGTGGCTAATTCAAATTCTATGGATCTGCTAAGTGCTGGTTTGCCACCAGAATTAAGATGCTCTCTTTGCAACACGTATTTCAAGGAGGCTGTGATGATACCATGCTGCCAACGTAGTTTTTGTGAAAAATGTAAGACCTTTGATCGTTTATGTTATATAGCAACTAGCAAGTCCGTCCGCCGTAATAGAAGCTCTCTTTCTCTCACACACTGGACATGCCAATAAATATGAACCAGATGAACCTTGTCATGGAAATTCAGATTACCATTAGATTCAAATTTCAAGTGTTGGACAACCTAGAGGCATGGGGTGAATAGGTTGTGACAGAAGTTCAAGTTTTCAACTTGATTATACAATTAATACAAAAATTTAATAGGGAAAGAGATGCAACACCCAACTTATAGTGGTTTGGGACCCTGTCACTGACATCTATTCCTTAAAAATCCTAAGAGTTTTGAGTCCACTAAAAGTCTTTTTGATTCTGGATACAAGTTCGCTGCAACAACCTTTTCTATTGTTGCTATAGACAATAAATAATTGAGCCAATGATCAATGTACAAAGTGCACACTGCAACAAATGATCACTTCTAATTTGTGAAATACAAACTTGAAGTAATCTTTAGAGAGTATCAAATGCTTTTAATGATTCTTGTTTGTTGTTGCCGGTGAATATTAACGTCAAAGATTTGATACCACTAAAAAACAAGGTAGGAATTTGAAAAAAATCATTGCAGAAAATGTCCATGCAAGCCTAAATAGAAATTTCATTAAATGCATGACCATTACCGTAGGAAGTATCCCTTACATTGGCCTGCGGACAACTGCAATGTGTCCCTGCAATGTCCACATTATGCGACAAAGGTCCTTTGACCTTTCAATAAATAATGAAGATTTGAAATTTTGATTAAAAATAGAATTTTAATTATTTCAAAATGTCAAAAATATTATTATTTGAATTCAATTCTCCTTAAATATTTTGATCACTTGAAAACACTTGGAAAACATAAAAAAAAGTAAAATCTTCTAAATGATCTTTGATGATCAAAAACCTTGAAGAATCTCTATTGGTTGGCATGTGTCTGAAGGCAAAATCCTAAGTTTCAAACAAATGATGTAACCCTAGCTTGATGGTTAATATACACTTATAAGTCTACAAGGCTACAACATTCTTCCTTAGCTTGTTACATATCTTAGAGGCTTCTTTGTCAGTCTCAAAACTTGAGGGTGTAAAGTGCAACTTTTGTTAGTTTTATAAGAACTTTTACACTTGCACCAACATTTAGTAATCAGCATGCATAATTTTTCATCCATTCTTCTTTGTTCAATTCTGGCAGGGAAGAGCCTGACTTCCTGTTTCTTTAGTGATGCTATTTATTCTTTCTTCTTGCTTGCTTCCTCAGTTCCTGTAATGGTATTCCGGAGTTTCCATTTGTGTTCAAGTCCCATTTGCACATAATGCTCTTTGTACTTGAGATGTGGTTTTGGGCATATGTGGCTGTGAATCAATTCGCTGAAGCTTGAAGGGTTGTAAGGTTTCATCATGCTTAGTTATAGAGACTTTAGATTACGATATCCTCTGAAAAATGCTACACTTGGTTGCTCTTCTGATCATTTATTTATTGATCCTCTCTTTTTGCTACAAAAAGTCTGTCACCTAGAGCTCCTGGTTTTTCATACAAGGGTAGTGATTAATGGTCCAAGGTTGCTGGTTTTTGCTTGGTGTTATTGGGATTTGTATGCCCTGTAGAATCCTTGGGTTCTCAAGTATGAAGACGAATTAGTTGTAGCTCAGGAATATTGCAAGTCTGCTACACATGTTTCCTATTTGCGGAGTTAGCTCCATGTGGGCTGGGGACATTCTCCGTTAACACAAGTGATAGCTGAATATTGGGTGTTACGGAGAGCTTCCAAAGACTAGGTGGTCGGTGGCTTCCATATTGTGGAAAACAAGCATGTTTGCACAGCTGTTTTCTCTACCCCTTTTTTCTTGTTCTGGTTATCTTGTTTACAGCATTTGTATCTTAAAACGACGGAGGGTCATGTGAGTCTGCTTCATAACCATATCTTAGTGTTTTAACTTGAAACTTCTGCATTTGTGTTGCTGTTTATTTCTTCTGCCACTTGTTGCAATTATCTCTGGAGGTGGTATCTGCTTTACTTTCTGCTGATGTGAAGAGGCTCTTAGTTGATTGTTGGTGCATTCATAGAGGTACTCCTTCAGTAGAGGCTGACATGAGCTCAATAAACATCAGTTTGTCTTGCTGATATGAGATCCACATTGTCTTGGTCTATCGTCCGAGGCCCTATCCCTTAAGAATCACTTTTTTTCAGCTGATAAGAACTGTTTGGGTGGCATTTGTGCAGAGGGTGCTATATAAGGACATAGGCCAAGAGGAAAGTTCCTTGACCCCTTAATGTAAATCCATTTTGTAAGGTTGAAAGTCAAGGTTTGAATTTTTTATATCAAAATATGGAGTTAGGTCTTGCTTTCTTTGGATTTATTAAAGTTTGCAGATGATTGCTGAATTCTGCTGTTCATAAGATTAGACAATGATTGACCTACAACGATTTGGGATTTTAGCTAACAGTAGCATGCAATTTAGTCACTAAGAATGCATAGAAACTTTGTTGTTGATAGATTTCCATAATTGGAAAGAGGGATATTTGGAGGGGGGGGGGGTTTCATGATTTATTTGCCCTCTTTGGGTACAGTGTTGCAAATGTCCATAGAAGGTAACTTGTTTTATCCATCACTCACTTTTTTTTTCTTTTGCTCTTTCCAATGACTCTGCTTAATTGGTTGTCTGGTTAATATTCAGACTACAGAGTGCACATTAATCTCACAAGGACATACTTCTAATTCTTTCCTATTTTGGCTCCTTGTTTACTGTTTGACTAGTTTTAGAGGTGCAATCGAGACCTTGAGTAATAACTGGAACTTCTATTGATGAAGGTAATTCTAGCCTACCTTTTAGGTGAGAGTATGAGAGCGCCTTCGGATTTAACCAAGGACAGCAGGTTTAAGGGTCATTGAGGCTGATCAGTGGTGATTGTGCAAGGCATAGCAGGAAGAGAGTATTGATTGCGAGATTATGGGTTGTTTGTCATGCTCATGCAACTACTTGGTTACTTGAAACATTTGCAGTTAGGTTTGATATATATACATGTTGGAAAGCTAATGGTACATTTATTGAAATTCATGAGGTTTGCAATTGACTAGTGTCTTAGTTCAGTTGTATGGAGCGGACTTTTGTCAATTATGTGCATGCATTTTAGGATATACACATGTATGTCACTTTTCAGTTTCAAAGTAAGTAAATTTATGTTCTCATGGGAATCATGATTAGTTCATGCCCATAAATTTACGTTCTCATGGAAATCATGATTTGTTCATGCCCATAAATTTATGTTCTTATGGAAATCATGATTTGTTCATGCCTTAAAAGGTGTACCTTGATTCCTCTTGTCACATTCAAGTACTTGGGATGTAACAATCAATTGAAGATTTATGATGTGTTTGTTCTTTAATAGAATGTATAAATGAATTTATTTGGATGGATAGTATCTCTAGCATCCATATCTGATATGTGTTTTCTGGATGAACAGGCATTCATGAAGCACTTGTAGTGCAGGGAAGCTGTCCTTGGTGTTCTTCTACCAAATCCAGAGTAAAGGACTTGCTACCAAACTTATGTCTTAGGCAAGCTATCAAACATTTTTTAGAATCTCAGCTTCTTGCTACTGCTCCAGAAAATGATTTGCAAAAATATGTCCCAGGTGCGAATTTTGATCATTAGCTGATGTTTTATACAAACAGAGATAGATAACATAATTCGCACTGATGCATGTTCAACAAAACTTAAATACAGATGGAGAATCCGGTATTCAGGGGAAAGATATTCCTTCTGCTCCCCCCATCAATAAAAGGAAAAAAGACTTGTTTACTTCTACATCAGCAATGAAGAAAGGATCAAATCAAGAGATGGCAGAATCTGCGGACGATTCTATGAACATGAAGAATTCTTTTTTGGAGGGTTCAGAAGACCGTAACTCAAATGCAATTGGTCATCTGAAGTCAACTTCTTTGCTTAAAGTAAAACATAGTGATAGAGATAGAGATAGACCTGAAGATTTGGCACTTGCTGCAAACTCTCGAGATATAAATCAGCCTCTAAATATGCCCCAAGCTCACATGCCTGTTCAAGGTATTTAACATATTCTGTGTGCTTACAATTTTAAAGCAATCAGTTGTTAACTGTTAATTAGTTTCCTTCACCTCTATTAATTCCTCTTGCTAATTAATTTGCTTCACTTCAATTCTGGGTTGATCCTGAAGGTACAACCCCAGCATCAACCTGCCTATGAATCTCATTATCTCTTGTGCTATCTGCATCATATCATTGATCTTATATCATGAGAGACATTATTTTCTTCCATTCTTTCTCTTTTCAGGTGGAGATCAAAGGTTCAGATTTGACAGTACAAACAGAAAGGTAATTCCATTCCTAGATGATGCTTGGTTTTTTATATACAAGTAATAATCATGTGCCTGCTTATTAATTATTTCTAGGCTTGAATTGATTACTGTTGGGTTCTTAGATTTATAATTCATTTGCCCAAGTTGCCATACTGTTCTTACATGGCTTGGGCTGCCTACGGCTTTGTTCAGGATGATAATTATAATTGAGAACGCATAAGGACTATGGATTTTCATTTGCCTATTAGGAAAAGAGGCAGAAAGAGCATTAGGATGGGTGCAAAATGAAAATTTGCAACACAATATCTGACTAGTTATATTAGCTCTTTACAAGTTTAGTATCAGAATTGGAATATGAAACCGCATGATACTGACGTGGCCTTCCTTTTAGTTAAAGAAAGTAATTGAACGAGGAAGCCACATGCACATATGATGCTTATTATTCTGTTGGTTTTTCTGTTGTAGGTTGCCTAGTCTATTTTGGATGCTTTTTTCACCAACTAATTGTCGTTGGCTAATGGATACATAGAAGTACTTGTTGGAACATCCTTGATGTGTAATAATTGATGTCACAGTGTTTATATGCCAATTCTTGATATAGGGCACATCATGTCAAAATTTTGAACACTTGGCACAAGAGATGCTAGGTTAATAAATCATTTGTGTATGTATATATCACAAAGTTTACTTGGCCAAGCAACATCACAACATGGAAATGGCATTAGAATTTTTTTTTTTTTGCATGCTATAGAGGCATGCATAACACTGCTTTTTCTTTATCTGATGCAACCTTTTACCATGTTGATATTAGGTGGACCGTACTTGTTACATGTGTGGTTCTCCAGATCATTTAATAAGAGACTGCCCTATTGCTCCAAACAGACATCCTATGTCTCATGCAGGTACATGTTGATTACTTGCATGAGTTTTAAGTTGTGTCAAGATGACAAGACGTATTGATGATCACATTATTTTAGGTGGATTTTCAGGAAATCCTATGTTTCAAGGAGGTATGCCATGCTATTCCACACCCTATTGGAGTGGTGCTGCCTTTCCCCCCATCAACCCTTACATGACTATGTATGGAAACCCAGGGTTGGTGCCTTTTGGTGGAAGTATGGTTCCTATTACACCTTATAGAGTTCCACATTACCTTCCATCTACATATAGCAGCTTACCTGTCCCTAGGTATGCTCGGTATCTTGTTGTCACTTTTCTTATTGTTCTTTCGTCCCTGTTATACTTCTTTTTTTATCTTATTCGAACTGCAAACAAACTTGCAGTGGAACTATGATGGGAAGTCTGGAAGCTCCTTTCGAAACTAGATCTGAACAACCTTTAACCCATTCAGAAATTTTGGAGCCTTGGCTTGGTGATAACAGAAGAAACTTTTCAGATGAAAGGAGGTATTCGGTTTTCCTCATACCAAGCAGAATGCCAGGATCAAGTGTACTAATGGATCTGTTAATTGATAAATCAATATGGTGGTTATATGGTTAATTACTTGTTGCCAAAAATAAAATGGTATGGTAGTTGTCCATTAGATGGGTTTGTTAGAAGACTACATGCATGCATGCAGGAAATGAAAAAAATAGACAAGTTGTGGTCATTACATAAGGCATAAGCCATCCCTTATGTCTTGAGTAGGTGAAGGCCTTACACTCATTTTGTGGACTGCAAACTGTAGCTTGATGTTGCCAAAAGTAGCCTTTTTCAGATTTTATTTATTCAATTTGTTTGGCGTTGATTGTTTAATAGACTTGGAAGTTCATTCTGTTCAAACTCGTTGTTTCATTCTTGACACTGAAGGATTTTGATTTGTTAACGTATAGGTACTGTTATTTGCTGCCCAACCTATGCTATGTGTTGCATGTGTGAGCTTTTGCATGGGCTTTCTATTTTCTTAGAAATAGAAAGTCGCTGATATCATTTCTTCTCCATCCTCCTTATTCTCTCTCTTTCTCTCTCTCTACATATACATATATATATATATATACATATATATATATATCACATGCAAGCCTTATATGTTTTCACTACAAAATTGCACCTTCTAATGATAATTCTTTTCATCATAAATCTTTGAATTGATTTGGCTTGTAGGTTGTAATATGAACTTCATTACTCCATGGAACTTGTGTATGATCTGCTTAGTTTCTGAAGTCCAGGGTTTGTTGACAGGCTTCTCTGTAGTGTGGCTTCTGATCATCATAAGACTTCCTTTTTCATATATTGCTGCCATTTATTGACCATATTAACTTCTTCATTCGATATTTTGGCTGGTTGATATACTTTCACAAGTTCTGACCTGCTCTTCCTTCTTTCTTGTCACCGCCTTGTTCTGACTTCTTGTCTCTAGTTCTTGATTTGCTCCAACTCTTACTTTTGCCAGAGAGCGTTCTTTTGATGAAGATGATGTCTGCTACAAACGCCGTCGTGTTGATGAACTACATAGATCAGTGGAGTATAAACCCCATAGAGAATGGGGGAAGACTCCAAGCAACTCTGAGGAAAGCCATGAATGGAAGATGCAAAGGGAACATCACTGTGACAAACATCTAAACCAAAAGGTTGAATCGATTAAAGAAAGACATGAAAAGCATTCTCATTCGCCAAATGCTGGAAAACACGCGAGGTCATATCATACAGATAGATCAATTCTGGGAGTTGCCAATGTGCAGAATAATAATGATAGATATGATGAAGCTAGGCATAAGAAGCATTATAGAAACTCGACAAGGCATCATGAGAGAAGGGAGCAGTCAGGCAGTGGTTCTACTTGGAGCCGCCATCATATCCAAGAAGAAAGGGGTGTTAAAAGGAAGGTTGAGTCAAGTGTGGATTTTAAACATAAACGTAACAGTTACCCATCTGGTGCAGAACACTCATCTTCTTCTGGAGATCAGAAAAAGCGGTGGAAAGACGTCAACCCTGGACCTATTTTCAGGGAACCTAGGGAGAGAACAAAGCCCCTTGCTGACAAGTTCTATGGGGACAGATGGAAGATGGTCAAAGTTTCAGATGAGGACTGCACGGAAGGCGATCATCACAAAGGAAAGAAAAGGAGGCACTAAAACGACAAGAATGCGTCCAAGGTAAACATGTAAACGAAGCTGGACCATGTCGACTTAGCCGATCTACCTGGTACATTTTCCATTGCAAGTAGGTTTTTGTATCAACCTGGTTTAAGTTCTTAAAGTAGTTTATAATCTTATATACAACTATCTAGGAAATGGAGTTGGCATCAAATACAACTTTCTAAACCATATATAGATCTGTTGGTATCTGACTTGTTTTGCTTTATTGATACAGATCTAAAAGAGTCATCAGTTCTTGGACTTTTAAGTCATGATTAGCTTTCTTTAGTTTTGCTAACTAATGTCTCTTCATATCTTAACCAAGAAGTGTGGATGAGCGAAAAAGTGTAGCCACGGAATCTGGATAGATTAACGTGGGGGTTGGTTGCTTATGCGGGCTGATCAAACATGCTGACAGAACTGTTGAAGTAACCCTCTTTGTGTCCTTAACACGAACTGTAGAAGAGCAAAAATATTGTCCAGAAGAGACTGGATATTTTACATAGGGTTTGGCTTCTTGACTGCTTGAACATTCTGACAGGGTCATTGAAGCTGACTGAGGTATGTTTTAACTTAAAGTTATAATGCTTGTTTTTTTTGCTATTTTTCCAGTTTAAGCTTAAGAAAGACTCTAGATCCTCAAAGCTAAAAGCTACAGCTAGGAAAGGTATCGTCTTGCCAAATCATAGTCGGTTGTAAGATCTTGTAGATGTTTTTTTAAGATTCTTGGCCTTTTTTCTTTCTAATTCTTCTTTTCCCCATGTCGGGTGGGAGGGGGAGACAAGGTAGGGTTGTTTCATTGTGAAATCGTGTTGGCAAATTAGATGATAACGTGATTGTATTTTCACACATTTGATGATTACTTACCCGAACAAAACAATAAGATTTAGCAATCACTTTGAAATTAGGGATTATATTATTGCTTTTAACTTGTGTGTTACAAAGAAATGATACAAGGATATATATAGACAGAAAACCTAGAAAAAAGAGAAACCCTAAGAGCCCATGGGCTTAATGGGCCTAAGTAAATATATATCGCATTTACATTCTAATACTCTCCCTCAAGCTGGAGCATAGATGTTAATCATGCCTAGCTTGTTACAAATAAAAGAGATTCGCGAACCAGGTAATGCTTTTGTAAAGACATTAGCAAGTTGTCTTCCTGTTCGAATAAAGGGAGTAGAGATGATTCCATCCTCTAGCTTTTCACGAGTGAAATGGCAGTCAACCTCAATGTGTTTTGTTCTTTCATGAAACACCGGATTGTTTGCAATGTGGATAGCCGCCTCATTATCACAATATAGGCTCATTGGTTTAGATTGAGCAAACCCAATTTCACCTAGCAGATTACGCAACCATATCAGCTCGCAAGTGGTTTGGGCCATAGCCCTGTATTCAGCTTCAACACTTGACCAGGAAATGACATTTTGTTTCTTTCTTTTCCATGAAACTAGATTCCCTCCAACCAACACACAATAGCTTGTCGTAGACTGCCTAGTAGTAGGATCCCCATTATAGTCGGCATCTATGAACCCTTCTCTGACATGATGACCGTGATTTTGATAAAGGATACCAAGACCAGGAGCACCCTACAGGTACTTCAGTATATACCTAATAGCATCCCAGTGTGGAGTTCTCAGAGATGACATAAACCGACTTACTACACTCACTGGAAACTTGATGTCAGGATATGTAATCGTCAGGTAGTTTAGCTTTCCCACAATTCTCCTATACTTTTTTGGATCCTCAAGTAGATCTCCATCGTCCGCTTTCAATTTCGTATGTGGATCATTGGGGCCTCACAAGGTTTTGTTTCAATCATTCCAAAGTCATTCAATATATCCAAACAATATTTCCGTTGAGACAAACATATCCCTTTCTGAGTACAAGATACTTCAATTCCCAAGAAGTATTTTAAAGGACCTAGGTCCTTTGTTCGAAACTGAGACGCAAGGAAATCTTTTAGCTTCTTGATCCCAGTCTCATCACTCCCAGTAAATACAATGTCATTAACGTATACCACTAGTAGAATACATCCGAAGATGACGAAGTAAAGAATTATATTAGGGATTATATTATTGCTTTTAACTTGTGTGTTACAAAGAAAGGATACAAGGATATATATATATATATATATATATATACAAAAAGCCTAGACAAAAGAGAAACCCTAAGGGCCCATGGGCTTAATGGGCCTAAGTAAATATATATCGTATTTACATTCTAACACACTTTTTTCCTTCAACAAATCAATGACACCCCTTCCACTTTTTTCAGTTATAGACAAACGAGAGATATATCCAATCACATTACTCCCTCAAACATATCGACTCATCTTTTCCATTAAATTGTCATCCATTGACTAAGAAAATACTAATTTGGCCTTCCAACTCATGTTTCTACTTATGGTATGGTGATGATCAACAATGAGAATATATTGAAAGAAATAGTATTTAATACATTGGACTTGTGAGGATGATGAGATAATTCATCTTACCGAAAGAAAAATCATTTATGTTCCTAGATCTGCTCACCAAAAGATAGAGTCAAAGAGCATAATCAGATTATTACACGTAGGATTGTGCCGGGACTTTTTTAAATTGGGTTTTCAAAATAGCGTACTTATAATTTTTGAAGTTACTTAGCAGTTATGTAACTTCTGCAATCCAATGCAGTAAAATAGTAATAATGTTTCTTTTATGATTGATAAATTGTTTTGTTTTGTGTATGTAATTGGAAAAAGTAAGAAACTAGAGTCAATTTTTTATCTATTTTGTGTTAATTTAACTAGTGTAGTTACATCATTATTGTGCCATATAGATAGTAGCATGAATCATTGAGCCACATGTACGTGTTCAAACTTTCCGAGACCCAACCACAGATGATCCCCTAGGTCCAAATGCAAGTAAACCACTAACAACAAATGCAGAATATTTCTGGTCTAGGAACAAGTAAATGGCTATCCAAGTGTAATAACTCAATCACAAAGGAATGTCCATGATATGTTTGAGGGAATGTAATGTGATTGATAAATCTGTTTGTTCAGGTAGTAATTGATCAAAGTGTGTAAGTATGATGACTCTCTATCTATTTTTATAGTTGTATTTGACATGAGTTCTGACCCATTACCTTCTTTGGATACAGATGGGAGCTGAGTTTATGGGCAGTGCTTAAGTTTTTGATCATAAAGAGTTACTAAACAAATGGGACTAGGTCTGCACATTGCCACATGATTCGTAGTTTAGGTTTAAGGCCCCAAAGTGTCACAAAAGGTCAGTGTTGTTACAATGGCTATTGAGAATGGACCACAAATCATAACACGAAAGGTCAATGTTAGTCACTGAGCAGACGGATATGTGCAATGCTACTAGGTTGGATACCTAACAGGTCATCTTCTTATCCATTTTATGGGAGGGCCTGGCTGGGGATGCTTTTGTACTTATGGATTTATTTGACTTGTTAGAAAATGAGGTAGATAATGTGGGCACAAACATTCTCTTAGCAGTTGTTTTTTTGAGTTATCTATATTCTCAGTCCAATGGAAGAAAGGTTTTCAGCTTTAGTTCTCTAGTTGTGTTCAAGTTAGCTATCCATGTGTCATTCATGCTACTAGGTTGGATACCTTTGTTGGAGGTAGGGCTTAGCCTCCATCTGTCTCGTGCTCATTTCATTGTTCAGGGATCCAGTATATAGAACATTAGTACATTTGACTTGGAATTAGGCCGTGCGATGTCCAAATTTTTTTCACCCCAAAAGTGCATAGGAATTTTTGTTCTATTTTCTTTTCATACAATGACCAATTTATCCCTGATAAGTTGTTAATACCTTTTGTATATTTTTCTTAATTTATTATATTATAATAAAACAAATATTTTTTATAACAAAATATATCTTTAGAAAGATCTCGTCAAGACGATTAAAGTTACACCAAAATATGAGAGTTTATTAATTTCCAATTTTATTTTGTGCTTTTTCTATATTATTTTATTATCATTAACATTTAATAAATTACATAAATTAACTAAAATATAGGAACATATAAAAATAATATTTTAAGGACAATAAAGTTAAAGTTTAAAGAGGATAAAATATAATAAATAAAATTTAAAGAATTGATAAAATGTAAAGAGGAAGACGTACTTGATGTTTTAGAAGAGAATCCGGTTTTATTTTGAGGGTATATTAGTAAAATTTAGGCTTGTTCCACCTTGATCCATGGTCCTGTTCCACTTTGTTCATGTATGTTCCACATAAAAGTCATGCCACACGTGGAACAATTATCCCTGTTTTGTTCTGTCCTGATCAATGTACCAAACGTACCCTAACTGAGCCACTACCCCCGTCAGCCCCCTGGGGTGTCCAGCCACCTCCACTACCTTCTTAGCGGCTGCCGCAACCCTCCATATTTCTGTATAAAAAACCCCAATATATCTCAGTAAGTTACAAAAAACACAGCATCTGAAGCCTCCCCAACCTTTCTGTTGCTTTGTCACTACCCTTCAACACCTCAAATAAGATGATAGTCCGGCTATCTTATGCTTTGACTAGCTGGGCACCAAAGATTTGTTAGCCCTGCCATTGAGGTTTGCACCCTCCATGAACTCTACAAGCTTTGTTCTTGCTCTCCAGATCTTTGCCAGCTCTCATCGTGATTGAATAGACCCTTGAAGATATCTATGGTGATCCTAAAAGGCTTCTTACTACTTCTGCAGGCTTTGACAAGCTTAAAATTTGATCATATGGCCATGAAGCCATTGAATGTATTTCACTGGGTCACGTTGCCACTTGCTAGAGTTGCCATCCAAGTCGTGCCACTTGCATGACCACCACAAAACCTCTTTGAAATTACATGGACTTGGGTGGTCTTTATGTTGGTTACAAAATCCTGCAATTACTTGAAATCTAGGGGTTATTATGTTCTAGAAGTTGAGGGGTTGTCTTGCAGTTCATGACAACAGGTGGCTTGGTTTATGATCCTTATTATGCTTTGGAGTATTAATTCTTGAATTTCCTAGGGTTATCGTAATAATTTGTTAGGCACCTCTAGAGGCCCAAGCCCATTCCTAAGTAATATTCTAGAAGGGGATAACTGGGTTACTTCTGAGAATAATTTTAGTATAAATAAGAAGGATGCAGGCAGTGTGAGGTAGGCAGAAATTAGTGAATTCTTTTGGGAGAGACTAGCACTCTCGAATTGCTAGAGGTTCTGATTGTTGTCTTCTATTTCCTGTTCATTTACTTTGATTAAATACAATTTGGTTAAGCATTTTCTTTCTATAATTGTGTTTGCTTCCCTTAGTTAAGTTGGCTCTTAACATAATTTTTTTTGAGAACTCCAAGAAATGCTTTGCAAATACCTAAAGTCTAGGGTGATCCATCATGGTATTCTCTAATACCTTATCAGGAGCAAAGTGAAGATGGGATTTCATAAGAACGTCAGTATAGATAGCAAGTGAGATAGCCTGGTGACCATGTGGATCTCCACATATTTGTCTAGCTCTCTTATGTGTAGGTTGCTTCTTGTAGTGCATATTTCACTAATGAGGAGCTTTTCTTTCTCTAATATCTTGTTTCCCTTGAGGTATATTCAACTTTTAGGTTGAGTTTAGAATTGATATATAAATATTCTGCACGCTACAACATCATTTTTGTCTATAGCTCTGATCCATTAAATGTAGATGCTTTGACCATCGTAGACCTTTAATTGGTCAATTACTAGACTCATTGATGGGTTGCCGTGTCCCTCGTAGAATCCGGATAAATTGCTACTGAAGATGGGCGATGAATCGAGCATAAACAATAAATGAAATAAACAAACAAGGGTTTTGCCTACCTTCAAGAGGTAGGTTCTCTCCAAGTGCCAACTCAGTGTCTAGTGAAATTAAGCATAAAAATCTCATTTGCAGCCACCTTGCTTATAGACTCCCAAGTTCTATAAAAAATGCCAATATTTCCCCCTGCTCATTCTGGATTTTTGGCTAGAATAGGCCAAAACGGGCTTAGGCCCACTTATACTTCTACATGTTGGCGTGTCATTCAAGTTGATGGCTTTTTACTTGGTTATTGTGGATGCTTTAAGGCCCTGTTCTCAATTATCCCTATTAGAGAGGACATTCTAGGGAGCTGCTTCAGTTGCTACATGATTTGAATACTATATTATTTTCAGGACTTTCTTAAGGATGTTTATATCAATCTGTTAGATGTGGCTTTAATTGTGTTAGTTTAGTTTTATTTTTTTGTTCAGGATATCTTAACTGTTTCCTATAAATAGTTGGATATTCCCTCTTTGTAAAGTGTAGTCTCAATTCGTAATAAAAGTTTCTGCAATTTTCTCTACATAATTTTCTCTAATTTCTCAACAAATTGGTATTAGACTGTGGTGATCAAAAAACATGCTTCTGTTAGTTCTGGACCCCTTCTTTTCAATTCTTGATTCTGCAATTTATCAAGATTGCTTCTGCGATTGATCAAGTCGAGCTATGTTTTTTGAAATTTTTTCTTCCGATTGCAATCTTGGTAATCAATTACGTCAATCTTGAAGTCCAATTCAAGGCAGCGGGATTCAAGGTGGAGCGACGACTGAAATTGGCGATCGATTGGAGTCCGACATCGTGAAATTGACGATCAATTTGGTTTATGGAATTGAAATTGGTGATCAGTTGGGAAGCGTATCAGAAATTGGTGATCGATTCGAGGCCCGGAGTTGAAATTGGCGATTGTTTGGAGTCTCGCAATTGAAATTGGTGATCGATTGGTGACATGCGACTGTGACTGAGTGATCAATTGGCAACTAGTGTTTCGATTTGGTTCAATCAAGATTTTGGAAATGCCTCCACAAATAATCAAGATCGTCAAGTTTACTGGGAAGAACAACTTCAGCCTATGGCGAATCAAGATGAGAGCTCTCCTAAAACAACAAGGCATTTGGATTCCCTTGGTTGGTAAAAGGCCTGAAGGGATGGCTGAATTTGAATTTGCACAACAAGATGAGAAGGCTCACTCTACCATCTTGTTGTCTTTGGCAGATGAGGTGATTTACGAAGTTGCCAATGAGGAGACTGCTGCGTCTTTATGGCAGAAATTAGAGAGCCTCTACATGAC